CAGTAGAGCTGGTGACATGATGATGGAAAACAACTTTTCTTAGATCATCCAGAGCTTTGTACTTTATCTATGCTTACGTTTAGACCACAATTTAACTTTTATTTCAAGCCAAGATGGGAATAAGTTATGGAAAAACAAGCGAGCACGCTGGCCCTGTCTGTCTGGAAACCAGCCGGTTAGAACTCGACTTTGTGCTCAGGCAGTTTACTGTGTTGTGCTTCGACAACTCTCTGAGGTTGTTCATGCCTCTTAGGGTGGGTTGGGTAGGAGCAAGGTTTCCTCCCAGATATTTGGTGAATGAAGTTTTCATGTATGTGGACTATGATTCAGGGAATAAGCTTGCAAAGATTAAACACTGTAACAAAGGTGAATGTTGGAGCAGGGTTGGGAAATTGAACAATTAATAACAGACTCAGTCAGCAGAGGTTTTGTTCGAGGGCAGGGTGAAGTCACCTAACATTGCTCATCCACCATCTGTCGTAATGTTCTCTCTGTGGTGATTTTAATGTTTCTAAGAGGTAATATGTAGAAATGTTGCTCTCAGCTAAAACTATAAAGTTTGATGAGCAAAATAGATAGGATGAATATACTTTACAATAGCATAGGTAAGTATTTCATGAAAATAAAGCCACATATACGTATCTATATACCAAGGATGCACAGTATTGTTTTACAAAGTCAATACCGACTACCGATACCTTTTTACTTCCAAGGGCCGATATGAAATTAATTAATATAAATTCTTTTAATATAGATTATATAATATATACTGTATATTTAATCTGTGATATTGTTATAGGGAATTAAAAAAAAATTCCAACAGTTTTGTTTGATCATTTGAATTACCCGTCACCCCTTTGGATGCTTATGTTCTCAATGATTTGTCAAGAAAGTTAGAGTCTTCAAGACCTTATGTCACAATCCAAAACAAGTAGAATTGTCAAATTGGGTTCTGAGACTTGCTCAGAGTCGAGTAAATCCCAGGCTGCACAGAAGCTGAATGCAGCTTGGGCTACCAATGCATGGAGCTCTGAGAAGCCTCTGGAATGCAAAGAGGAGCAAATTGAGGCACGTGACGTCAGCGCACTCCACTGAGAAAGTAGAGGAGGAAGGTGAGGGTGTACGAGAATGTACGTTTGAGATAAACAGATGAGGGGGAGGAAAGAGGTGGAGGGAGGCAAAACGAAAGATAAACAGAGAGGGATAGGCTGCAGCCAACACTGCAGTGCAGTCGTCTTTTTTGTGCGTTTTTTAAGTCCAAGCAAGAAACTACTGTTTGGTTGGCAGTGGTCTAACGCATGACTGGAGCTTAAACCAAACACCCAGAGTAACGGACACAAACGCATAAATATGTACCTGACCAAATTTGGGGAGAAAGATAAGGGACAGAGAGCGGAGATCTGCTATTTTGCGTAAGAGCTTGCGGAGAAAGCTTTTGCAACATCGCGTTTCTTTAAGCTCAGACTAGGCTTTCAGAGACCAAACTGCTGTTACTAACAAAGTCAAGACTCCCAACACACAGATTTCATTAGTCATAATAGCTAAGTAAATACTTGAATGCATGCCACTGCTGAAATCAAGACAGACTCCAGGACAAAGTAAGGCTGGTTTCAGTTACATTGTTTTAGTAAAGCAATACTAATTAATAGTTCCAAATATTAATTATGTGATGGAGGGATGTTTATGTTAAAATCTCTAATGTAAAGATGTATAAAGCCACTTGTCTGTGTTTTAATAATGAAGAAAAGAAATTAGCAGTCACATTTTAAAGCTAACAAAAAGAAATTAGCAGTCACATTTTAAAGTTAACAAATACTTACAATACTTTTAGATGTACTGTAACAATAGTTAGATCAATGGTTCCCAAACATTTTCTGAAGCATCGGATTGACCTTCCAATAAGTAAATGCAATAACCAATCTGTAAATTTTTCATGCTGTGGTACAAATTTTAAAAATACATACATTTCACCTGCTGCACCCCCACCGAACAACTCCACGTCCCCCAAAAGTGGGGCCTGTCCCTCATAAATGGAATTAAGTGATGATAATTGTACAGTGAGCTCAGGTTCATGTTCATGCCAAACCAGTTTAAGACAATTTCAGTTGGTGCATGATTGATTTTGCTCTTAAAGGATTACTCTTCAAAGCATAAGTAAAACCGCACTCGTGTTGGCATGAACACTAACGAGCATGTTGGTTCATTTTATTTTGCTTTTATTTCTTCTCTACGATTACAGATACAGATCCCTCTCCAGTTTTAGTAACTTAACGTCAAGCATGTAACGGCGTTGTGCGTTAAGTACGCCGACAGTTGTCCTAAAATTAAATTGTTAAAAAAAATAGTATTGCAGTATAGCTCAATATATCATTACATGATACATATTGTATCACCAGATTATTGCCAATACACACCGCTACTAAAAACAAATAGTTTTTTTTCCCGGTATTGTTAAAAAAATATATATATATATCATTGTGCCTATAGTTTTGCAGTATATTGCAATATATATTGCCAGATTCTTGCCATTACTCACCCCTAGTGTGTATATTTGTATATATACTCTACATATGTATACATTTGTAGATAGATAGATAGCACTTTATTAATTCCTCGGGAATTCCTCGGGAGTTCCCTTCGGGAAATTTGTGTTTGTATTTCTAAATATGTGTCTTTATGTCTTTATTTACCATTTATTTTAGTATATTGAGGTTATTCAGACAGTATTACATCCATGGCACATTAACCATCCTCCTCCATTCTAACACTTAGTTTCAGCTCCACATGTACCAGGTGCCTGAATGCTTTTACTTGCCTTGAGGTGATGAACTGATTAGAAAGTTACATCACCTAACAGGTGAACCGGTCCATCACTTGGACCTGACTTGTCACACCTGGGAACACAAACTGCAGGAACTTTAATATAAAGTTTGGATAATATCCTGAAGTGTATGTTTGTCAGGTGCAGTACATGTTAGTATGCAGGGCATATGGTGTTTGGTGGAGGAGCCTCTCCAACTGCAAATCACCTCCCTTCCTTCCCTCTATATTCAGGAGCAACCCTGCTCACAAACCCCTTGCTGTCGAGCAGTGAGTCTTGCTGGGTTGCCATGGTGATCTGATGAGGGACCAATACCTCTCTCTTGCGCTTTCTCTCTTTCTCTTTCTCTCTGTCAGTCAATCACTCTCTCCCTTTCTTCTTTTGGAGAGTCACTGCAAATCAGTGATTTCAATGGCAAATGTTGGGAATCCCCCTTACACTGCACACACACACACACACAAGGCTGCCTGGTACAGTCAAGGTGTCAAGGCTGTCTGGTACAGTCAAGGTCATTGGATCAATTAGCATGTGGTTGTTTGTGGGTGGAGATAAAGATATACAGTGTGTGTGTGTGTGCGTGCATCCTTGGTTCTGGTTCTTTCCTCAGCCATGCTGAAAGGGGATCCCTCCAAGCCAGGGAAACCAGAGGCGCATGTGCGCACGTTTGTGTGAGTGGGGGCACGGAGAGGAGGCAGTTATATGGAGTTAAGGACATTTTTTGTAAATATTACAATGAGACTTGTAAGAGTGGGGAGATGGGATGAGACTTGTGTGAATGCATTATGTCCGTAGGTGTCCTCAGTCCTCTAGAATGACAAAGCGGTGAGTGTGTGTCCGGTGAGTGTGTGTCCTATATCAGGCCTCGCTCCCTGTCAGCTGAGCTAGCACAGACCTGCAAACGCGTCACAGCTAAGCTGAAAGGGAGGGGTGTGAAATTGGTGAAGGGAGACACACACACACATAGACGTCCCACTTGTGCTGAATAGTCTATGCGAAAACACCTACAACACAACATGTTTGTGTTGCTAAACCACTGGAGGGGATTTTTTTTTTCCACAGCCCCAAAAATGTCCCAAAACAACATGCAGTGTTTTGGGCAGCTAGCTGCACATAATGAGGCTCTTATGTTGTTGCGGTCATGTTCAACTGTCAACCGTATTATTGTTGTTGTTGTTGTTTACTTTTTTGAACAGTCTAACTTTAGCCTCAATGCTAGCCTTCAGGTTGGGTGTGTGCAGTGTCTTGGCAGAGAGTGTTTGTCACCAGGCAGAAATAAGAGGGTCGCACATACGTATGTACATGACACACACATACACACACGCACACAAAGGCCAAAGAGTCAGTACAAACCAAACCATAATACAGTTCAAATTTACAGCCAGTCATTAATAACATTCTACTGCTTTTGACTTTTCTTCAATGCTGAACATTAATAACATTCTACTGCTTTTGACTGCTTTTGACTTTTCATATTTTTTTTTTATAATATTATTATTTGATAAAATGCTGATTGAAAAGTCCTGTCCCTTGGACATATACCTTGGGTGCTGGACACTCAAATAAAATGAAATAAAAATCATATATTTTTTTATAATAATATTATTTATTATTTGATGTTTATTTTAAAATTCAGTTGCAGGTTTCAAGAGTGGATGGTTTGGCGGGCCAGGTTCATGCCCCGGGCCGCCAGTTAATAATCACTGAACTGTTTTATAGCCAATGTCTGGGGTCATGGGAAAGGTTATTGTTGCTGGAGTGAAGCTCACATTTGCATTTTTTGTGTAATACATTTTAATTACATTGATTCTCAGATGTTTGTCAGTCTGCCATTTGCATTCCCAGCGTTTCTTATTTATTTTAAAACCCCTCCTCTTCTTTCTTTCCCTCTTCTTTCCCCCCTGTTGCACAACAGGAAGTGTCTCCAAAAACACTCCCATCAATATCAACACTGCCATCCTCAGTCTGTTGACTGAACGCTGCCTCCCATATTTAGTCTCAGGTTTATTTAAAACCGGCTCTGTGGGAGCTGATGTTTTCTGTAATGTTGACGATCAACAGAGGCATACACTGACAAAAATGGGGAAAAAAGGTCACTTAGGACAGAGTTGAAAAACCTGTTTAAAAAAAAAAAATACAGCTACACCTCAATGTCTAACACTGCCTTTTGTTTTCTCACTAGTCCGAGGATGTCGTCCAGGAAAAATTGTCCAGATGACGGAGGCTGAGGTGCGCGGCCTCTGCATCAAGTCCCGTGAGATCTTTCTCAGCCAACCAATCCTTCTGGAGCTGGAGGCTCCGCTCAAAATCTGTGGTCAGTATTTCTCCTCTCATGAGGTTCAATGTTTTGAGCCACATCACATATTTTTCATTAGAAAAATCCTGCATTCCACCACTAAACACAAATGTCACAAAAAAAGTACATGTAATGAACATAACATAATTCTTGTAGTTTAAATGTATTCACAAATTACTTACACAGTGTGAAACCAGTGCCAGTTTAGTTGAACACAACACTGATTATACTGGCAGGAATTGAAGAAACACACACACACAGATCTTCTTCAACAGCTTATAAAGCCATCTACTACCACCTAGTGGAAATGGATACTAGTTGAGTGAAATGTTCCACTCTACACCTGACGATCTTTCTCCGGTTGTCTCCACCTTCACTCCAGGAGACATCCACGGACAGTACACAGACCTGCTGCGGCTCTTTGAGTATGGCGGTTTTCCTCCAGAAGCCAACTACCTGTTCCTGGGTGACTACGTGGACAGAGGGAAGCAGTCTTTGGAGACCATCTGCCTGCTGCTGGCGTACAAGATTAAATACCCCGAGAACTTCTTCCTGCTCAGGGGCAACCACGAGTGTGCCTCCATCAACCGCATCTACGGCTTCTACGACGAGTGTAAGTACAGTGTACTCGGCCTACTGTCTCCTTCAGTCTTTCTTGTTTATTTTCATACCTTCTGATACAAAAAAACTACTGGAGGTGCTCCCGGAGATGTACCGGCCGTGTCGAAGGTGGTCCGGCTAGTCCGGAGCCTCTTTAAGTTGTGGACTGTTTTAGTAGCTAGCGTCCAATTCAAGCTGGATATTTTGCTTGCCTTGTCTTGGCACACGTACACCTCCGAACTTGCCTGCGTCCCGTTGATTTCACAGGTAAACGCCGATTCAACATCAAGCTATGGAAGACTTTTACCGACTGCTTCAACTGCCTGCCCATAGCTGCCATCGTGGACGAAAAGATCTTCTGTTGTCATGGAGGTATTCCATATTGTTGTTGTTGTTGCTGATACAGGTTAATGATGTAACTATAACTAGGTGGATGGACCTGTCACTGCAGGTAATGATTCGTTGTTGTTGTTGTTGTTGTTTCTCTCAGGATTGTCACCTGACCTGCAATCTATGGAGCAGATCAGACGCATCATGAGACCCACAGATGTCCCCGACACAGGTAGGTCAACACGGACAAACTTAAAGTCATCCACCAGTCAGTCAAACACACAAGAGCTTATACTACAAATCCAGCATTTGTGGCCCGAGCCATGTAACCAGACTTGTTACTGACATGTTACTGACTAGTAACACGTTTAATCTCGAGCAAGACAAAGTTCTTCATCTTCTTTCTGCTGAGTCATGAGAGTCAGGAGTTTGTGTTGTGGTTTCTAAGGGAGTACGGATGTGTATTGATGACTGCAAAGTTATTCAAGTTCAAGTTTTTTTTTGTTTTTTTTTTGCCGACCTTGTTGGGATATGCAAAATTAAGGGGAAAAAAACTAAACAAAAAACAGCTGATTGTGCTGGAGCTGGAAAGTCCACACGGTGGCAGCGAGGGCGCAGCAGCTCTGCAGCTGTGGTGATTCCACGGCCACAGCCACCAATGGTTTCTGCAGTAATCCATCAAACTGTTCCACGGTCCACACACACACACACACCCACACACACACTCACACACATCAGAGCTGCTGCTGCTGTTTTACTAATGTGTTCTCTAATGTGGCCGTTTCCTCGCACAGATCCAAGGTCACTAATAAGTTGGTGCTCTGTGAGCTGAGCTAATGGTGTTTTCTCTGCTCTTTAGCAGAACTTCCCGATTTCCTTGGATTATATTTGCGTTAAGAGACGGTGGTAAAACTTCAGTCCCGGACCTGGTTAAAGCAGAGGCAGTGAAGCCTGCCTCGGTCGGACTGTTTGTCCTTTATTTGGACTCATTTGCTCTTGTCCTTATAAGGCTTTGTCTCCTCAGTCAGATCCTCTTATGGTCTCTTTGAAGGAGACGTCTGTGTCTGGATGTGAAGTGTGTGTGTGTGTGAGTGTTCCATTCATACAAAAGACATTTTTTTACAACTCCCTTCTTAACGAGTGGAAGTACTTTTGTGTTTAATAACTTAAAGCTACTTTAGTTTTCTTCCTTCGCAATACACATATGTACACATACCATACAGCTGACCAAGAAAGATTTTCTACCATGACACTCTTCTCTGAATGTCCTTGGTTTGTGACGTCCTCGACTAAAGACGTTTCGTGGTTATGTCGCCATCTCCCATAAATCTATTAAGAAAGTCTTGTTCAATCGTTCCGACGTACAGACGTATTGAAGAAAGACAGCGTTGTTTAAATTCCTCAGTTGTACACCATACATTGGATTGTACTACATTTACTTTCTTTCATTTGTGTTGTGCTTTATGAATTGTTTTCCCCTTCATTATTGTTTCATTAAGTGTAAGTCAGACTCTTGTGATGTTTTTATGTCCTCGATCAGGGGTGTCAAACTCAGCACCTTCATAACATATTTACCTATAAATAACAATAAGCCCGTGTTTTTCTCCTTTGTTTTCATGCAAATAGGTACAAGTTTATAAGTAAAAATTCATATTTCATGCATTATAGATTGACAAAACATCATGAACATTAAGTGTTTGTGCATTTTTTTCACTTCCCCAACATACAGCCAGTGGGCCAAAACTGGCCCGCAGGCTCTATGTTTGACACCCCTGTCCTTCATTATGATGTAATCACAGTGTAAGCCTAGGTGAATGACATAGGTACTCTATCTCTGAACTCCATTGGCTGATATATCAGATGTGTTGTGTCATTCTGCTCCTCCAGGCCTCCTGTGTGATCTGCTGTGGTCTGACCCAGACAAGGATGTCCAGGGCTGGGGGGAGAATGACCGCGGCGTCTCATTTACCTTCGGTGCAGATGTAGTCAGCAAGTTCCTGAACCGTCATGACCTGGATCTCATCTGCAGAGCCCACCAGGTGTTTTTAATGAATTAGTTCAGACCTTTGTTTATTTATTTATTTTAGCGATCAGAGTCGTGCTAGCCTAATACGGTAATATTTTTAGCCTGTATTCGTTAGGTTGTTTTGTCGATGAATCATCTGTCAAAAAATAATTTACTTTTACGTATCATTCCCTGATATGCATTTTCTGAAAGATTTGACTAGTTTTCTGGTGTGAAATACAGCCCTAAATGTATGGTTTATTCAATAAATAACAATAAATATAAATATTGGTAATAATATTGTTCAATAAAACATAGTTTACTATTAGAATGCCATAAACGCCCAATTACAGTTTTACGAGCAGAGTATAGTAAATATTAAATGTTACATCTTTGAAACCGTGTTTCAAAACGGTGCCATGAGCTTTATTTTTGTGTCTTACGCCCTCAGGTGGTAGAAGATGGTTATGAATTCTTTGCCAAGCGGCAGCTGGTTACTCTGTTCTCCGCGCCAAACTACTGCGGAGAGTTCGATAACGCCGGCGGCATGATGAGCGTGGACGAAACCCTGATGTGCTCCTTCCAGGTACGTGGTCCCCTAAAAGTACCGAAAAAGTTCCTGCAGTGCAAAAAACGGCTTTTACACAATGGGATTTAAATGTCTCGGTGTGTGTGTTTCCAGATCCTGAAGCCGTCTGAGAAGAAAGCAAAGTACCAGTACGGAGGGATGAACTCGGGCCGGCCCGTCACTCCACCGCGAACAGCCCAAACTCCAAAGAAACAATGAAGGATAAGAGAAGTGGGAGAGAGGGAGAGTTCTGTCCTAAATGTTCTCGTGTTGGCCTCACAACCCCACAACACTGCAGATGAGAAAACAGAGGAGCACGACTGTTTTCTAAAGACGCTCTCATCTGTCTTTCATTTAACTCTTTCATTTTCTTATCTGCCTCTGAACTGATCACCACACACGCACACACACACGCTCTTCTTCTCTGTTGCCTTTCTTCTGTGTAACGTTTAAAAAAAAAAGTATGAATGGATGAGGAAAAATTAGCAAACAACGAGTGTCGTTCTGTAGCATATCGTAGTGTTTTCTTTGTTTGTCCTTTGCTCTTTTTTCGGATGAGAGAATGACAGCTAATTGCCACGGCTCCTTATTTTCCCCCGTCTGTTCAGACACGACAGGTTTCAGTGACGACTGCTGGGTTTTCAATAAATAATACAGGGAATAAACCTGCCTGGACCTTCTGTGTGCTTCTTCCCCTTATCGTGGCCTGTATATTTGTTGTAAAAACATCTTTATTTTTAATATAAAAACATTTTTTTAAGATACAGCAAAACAATAAAATAAAACTCTGTGTGTTTCTGTATTGGCAGAATACGATGTAACGTGGTGAGCATACATTGCTACGTCACTACTTTTGAAAAATAAAATGAACGGGAACCATCTGTTTAACAAAGAGCATCGTTACAAAAAAGGTAGGAGTGGTGTAGAATGTTACCCTATATACATGTGCTATTTTTTTTTCATGAACTTTTGTAAACAAGAGTGCGAGACCGTCACATAACCCTAGAAGGCCACTAGAGGCCAGCAACGTGTGACTACATTAAAGTTGTTTAACAGTACTAGTGTTGCTACTGTTATGTAATATTAATAAAATGAGGTAAATGATATAGATCCCGCTACTCAACCGGACTGAGCATTGGGCTACATCAAAAATGAAAACTATATTACGAGATTAAAATTCTAACTTTAAATGACAATACATTTGTAACGTTACGAGAAAAAAATGCATGGGGAATTAAGTCCGACATTTACGAGTTAAAGTCATAGATTTATAAGAATAAAATGGCCATAATAGGCCGCCGTAGTCTAGGGCCCGGTACCAGCACGAACAAAACATTTTCATGTGTGATAAATTGAAAAAGGTAAAACTATTATTTTGAAACGTCACCGGATATCTTCCCAATGGTATCCGCTTCTTGGCGTCGTAGCGCCGCTGGTACCTGTTCAAAATTAAAGCCCACGGTGTAAAAAAACAAATAGAGGGTTTTTTTTAAAAATAGGCGTAGACAAGCCCGACAAATTATACCGAGCCCACGCTGTGTAATTTGTGGTAAGTAGTATTTCAATTCGGTAGTTTTTAATGACAATAAAATACAACGTGTATGAAACGTTGTATTTCATTGTCATGTCAGACGTATTTAATCAATTCACCTTGTTTGTTCATCAGGGTTTTCCTTTTTGTAACGGATGTACGACACTTTATTAAAGTTTATATAATGCTACCTTTTAAAAGAAGATAAATAATCCTACTGTTAGCTTTACTGGGCGCGTGCGAGGTCTGGCTAAAATGACTTTTTTGGTGGGGTTTCTGATATTCGTACTAACTGATAACCCGTAAAGGCAGCATTTGAGTTCAAAGGTAAATCGTATTAAAAATGCTTAGTATTTTGTATTAATAAGATTTACAGGGATTGTAGCTTAGACCGAATCAGCAAATCAATGTAACTCAAACATAAACTTGAGACTCTTTCTACGACAGACTTAAGACTTCATACATTTGTCTTAGTGGTTTAAACTGAGTATTTTATCGACTTTCCTGTTTAGAAAATCACACATTAACTCTTGTGGTTGCAACTATCCATTTTAATGTACACTACTGTATGTACAGATAGACATTCCAACATACATAGGCACGTATTCCCTTTTGTGCGACTGATGAGACACAACTTATGCCCCTGCTGCTGTGTAACATCCATAAAAAATAAATGGAACCTTTTTGATTCCACACTGGGGACCTTCACGTGTTAACAGCAGATTTGCTGCAACAGTCTGAAGACAATGGCTTACATCAAGGGCATTTGTTATTCTTAAATGTAATCCAGTGGATTTTGGGTATGGAATTAGCATTGTATAGGCTGTCACCACAATTGTGATTAGTAATTCAAACAGTCTCAGCCCTTAGTTCATTTCAAAGCAGCACTAATGGTCTCAGTTATATGACTACATTTTCTTACATCAAAAACTAAGTTTGTCTAGTCAAAGAAAAAAAAAGAAGAAAAGAAATGGGGCGTAAACAGAAAAAAAAACAGAGATGTTAACAGATGTGAAACAATGTCAGAATAAATACAATTTAGCTTTACATGGCAAAATGTCAGCATTTTTATGATCCAATACAGATGTACAAATGTTTTGCAACAAGGGAAAAAAAATCAATACTATTCCACATCATTAGAGTCGTTAATATACATATAAATACAAAATTGTCACTTTTTTTTCCCCCAAACGCAATTATTCTTATACGCACATCAGCTCAAACTGCTTTTAATGTCTCAAAAGAAACAAGAGCATCATTACACAAAATACACACGAGTTTCACTTGTTTACTGGAAACATCAACTAAATAAGTGACACTGTCTGATAGGATCATTTTAAATCTCATCACAGAATTGTTTACATTTATTTTTTAAACGTTTTGAACAATCCAGAAATGTCTTGCAACCCCTGACCAGGAGGGGGCAACAACAAACACACGCAGAACCTTCATAAATACTAATTTGCATTAATCTGTCAAGCTCCCTGTATCTTTAAAAATGAATTACTTGAATAATAAATTAAAATGCTTTATATCCAATTTCAAATTGGATACAAAGCGTTTTAATAGATTTTTCTATAAACTTACAAAAATAAAGTGTGCAGCTCCAGTGCGGCCGGGGCCTTGGTTTCCCATTAGCATTTCCCATTTGTTAACCTTCTGTGGCAAAAAAAATGCTAGAAATCTACGGCATATAACAACTACAATAGTACCAAAAATAAACTTTAACTATAAACTACTGTCTACACAAACTTATGAATATTAAGAGTAAAAAGGTTTCCAAATCTAGAAGTAGAATTCAGCAGAAAAAATTAAGCCCGTAGCTAAATATTTTCCCTTTGTCTACACCTGATCAGCTGATGATAATGCCCTAACGTATAGAACACGAACATTAATATCGTAAACCCATAAGGTAGGGGAAAAGAGAGTAACAACACAAAGAAACAAACAAATGTATAATTGAAATCTTTTTGTTCTTTAGACAAAACAGTTAATTCATCATACTGCTCATATGGGCAGAGCTGCTCCACAAATTCAAGTGTTTTTTACTTTTGACTTTTGCTGGGTACTTAGACAGACAATGGACCACACTAATCTATATTTCTGCATGTGTGTGACTGTGTGTGTCTACACCACGGCTCTCAGGGGGAAGGACAAGGCAGCTCCTAATGACAGCCCCAGGGCCAAAAAGAAGGTCATCAGTGCTCCAGCAGTCTCTGCATCTTTCGACTCCACCAACCTAGTGAGAGAGCAGCAGGTGAAACCAGGTCAGCTGTGGAACATTTAATGGACTTAACCTGTCTTACACTCAAGTTTCTAGATCTGTCAGTATTTGTTCGACGTTGTTCCTCAACAACAGAGTATTTTACTTTTTCAAAGAGATCAATCACATCGACTTCAAATTTCCGCAGTCAGGGTTGATTTAAAAAAAAAAGTTATAGGTTTCTCAATAATACAGTTTCCTTTTTTAGAGGAAGCAGCATTGTACCCCATTTCCCAAACTGGAAACACCACCAGGATCCTACATTACAGTTCTTACAACAGGACTTGACTCTGTTGTCACTGCCAAAATGTAACATACTGTATATTCCAAAATCTACAATGACATTGATTTAAAAACAGATGCAACTTTGTGCTGTGTAGGTTCAGTTTCAACTCACTGTGGCGCGTAGGACATGGAGAGACAAACAAAGTATCCACTGGACACGGAGAAGAAAGTCATGATAGCAGTGAAGGCAGCGTCATGGGGGAAGTAGACGGGCATGTAGGAGCGCACCTGGACATTACAGAGCATGAGCAGAGGGATGAAGACCACCCTGGAGATGACCAGGATTGGGAAGAGGAGAGACTCTTTACGAGGCTGCGGAGAAAAAAAAAAGAAAAAGGTTGGTGTAATCAGTAGAACTAGTAGTACTAGTAGTAGTTCCCCGTAGGATGGAAGGTGGACAGAAATAGATAAAGTAAACAGAGACATAAATTCCACTGCAGTATTTGCAAAAATGTGCCCTTTAACCCTTCAATTCCTTCACACAGTGAATGAATAGTGCACACAGACTGTACATACAAACCTAGACATATGGGCAGAGTAATACTCTAACAATTTAAATAAAACCCCTAGACATATGGGCAGAGTAATACTCTTTACAATTTAAATAAAACAATTAATACTTACAAACCTAGACATATGGGCAGAGTAAAACTCTAACAATTTAAATAAAACAATTAATACCAATACTGTACTTTTTTAAATTTCAAAACTTTAATTAGCCAACAAACAGTTAGGCCACTCACCCAGCGTAAGAAGGTGGTGATGGTACGTCCCAGCCAGTCATTGATGTTGAACGTTAAGAAGCAGCAGACGGACAGGAAGTAGCGCTCTGCTCAAACAACACAGGAGGATTTCACAATAAGACAACCAGTACAAAAATACGTACTCCCATTTGTAGTCATAATTTTAAATCCTCTTTAAATCCCGTACACATCGGATTGCCCGGAGTTGTTACCATGTGATCCAACAGAGGGCGCTGTAAGTGTAGCCAAACCTCTTATTAAAGTGAAGATCAGAGTACTGATTGTTTTCTGCCACTGTCAGTGAGCAGGCTGAACCCGCTGGGTTATTTTAGTTCAGCAGCAGCTTAGTTGGGTTATGATAGTATTAAATATTTCTACTTCATTGTTGTACATGGGTATATATTAGGGATGCACCGAAACTAAAATTGGCCGAAACCAAAAACTGAAAATGAGTAAACCAAGACCGAAAACCAAAGAATAAAACAATTACAAAATTATTATAATTTATTTAGCACATTCTTACAATGCACAATATAAAATCAAATTCAAAATAAAATGGAAAACTTGTCTCCACTTATGTGTACATTAAATGATAATGTACACATTTTTTTGTAACTGTTGTGCAAGTATGTATATGGGAAAGAACGAATATTGAAATTAATTGGCCCTACTAAACACCCTGCTGTAGCTTGGTGCCCTGCAGAGAAGCCCACTCTGGACGACTTGTCTTAACATAAGCGCAGTTCTTCGTGTATGTGTAATATGGAGCAATGGGTGGAAATGATGTGACATCTGATTTAGCAAATTCCAGCATGTTAAATGTGTTGATGTTGGTAGTGTCAGTCCTCATGTCGCTGTAGAGACGTGTTGTTTTAATGCACTACAGCACAATCTTACCCCATTTTCCTGGGAAAGACGTTTTGACGTCGGCCGTGACGGCAGGAAACACAGACAGAGTGACTGTGAACACAAACGTCACACAGAACGCCATCACCCAGATCTAAGAAACAGGGAAAGAAAATGAAAAATGGTCATGAAGCTTAGATTTACCTCAGACAAGGGATGTAACGATGCACTTTGAATCACCTAAAAATCTATACAAATGTGTGACAATTCTCCTCTGTTGAATTGAAAAATGAATCGTGCAACAAGGTGTAGAGTAGGCTGCGTTATCTCAAAAAGTCAGTGATGACCACTGACATTGGTCAGAGACTACACACTTTACTACAGTAGGGGGCGATATTCGCCTAAAAACGTTAGTCGTGATCAGCTATTTAAACCAAGACGTCAGACCACAACCCTAAGTGACGTGTTCAGACAGAACGTGGGAAGGAAATTCTTCCACATATTTGTCCAGCTTAGTGTTAGGCATTATAAAGCTGAGTGTTAACCTTTTTAAACACTGCCATGACGGAGGCTTTGGCCTGAGTCTTCTCCTCCCCCTGATCCAGGGACAGGAAGGCCTGCTTGTTCCCATCTGGACCGGATGACATCTGGGCCTCAGCTCTGCCGCCGCTGTTGCTCGCAGTAGAGTTGGAATGGCCGTTCAGCTTCTCCGTCGTGGTGCTATCTGCAGTCACAACACTTGCTGTTCAGCATAGGCGTCAGGGAGAGCATGGCGTGTGCTTTAGTGAAGGACGGGGTCTGTTTGATTCTAACAAAGGGGCCTCTGTCTGAGCAGTGTTGGGACTCTGACTGGATAAACAGACACACAGACTGACTTAACAAGATAATGCATCACTGAATTGATTTAATGAAAAAATCTCTAGAAACAGCCCTGTGGGCTCAGGGGGTAAAGAAAACACATGCTTTGTTACATTCAAACAAATGCTAACTCGGGATAATTAGCATATGGGGATTTTAATTAAATCCGTGAAAGGATTAAAAACCTTATTTAAACTTGGACACTGACGTATGTATTTATCTTTTATGGAAATAAATTATTGGAGAAAAAAAAACAAACATTTTAGTATGAACAGAGTTACCTTTCAACAGCTCGTCTGTTGCCCCGGCCTCATACCTGCGGCTTTTGTTCAAATAATACTGAGCAAACTCCTGCATGTAAACATAAGAGGGTTTCAGATGAGTGCTTTACTTCCACAGGCTTGATACCAAAATAAATGCAGAATGTTACAGTTAATTATTGTTAGTATAACGTCAAACAACTCTTGGAAAAAAAAATTCCAATATTCCATGACTTGCTATGCAAACAGAAATCAACTGCTGATACTGCAGGCTACTGATGCTAATATATTTCCTGTTTGCTAAAGTTTGTTTTTTTTAACGTCTCAAGGTGTCTCATCTGAGACGTCTGTCTTCTTCTTATACCAACTACACTGAAGTAGGAGCTTTCTGTGTGGGTTTTTTTTTTTTTTTGGTGCTTGTTAAACGGTGTTCTGTGTTTTGTTGATGTCATGGATGAAGGACAGTAGGTCCAGGTCAGGGTTCTGCAACCACTAGCTCCACACGTGGCACTGCAATGGACCAAATTTAGCCTGCCAACCAACCAGTATCAAGTCGATAGCTGATAAAAAGGAGCTGTTTTTTATTTACAAAAACGATCCGCCTCCTTGCGAAATAACAAACTGGCGCTTTCCTGTTAAGTCAAGATCGTGTGTGCAATTTTGAGATAGAGCACACAAGATTGACCTCAATGGTGATCATAGTGAGTGTTACTTTTTTTTAAAAAACAGTAATACGGGTAAGAAGCATTTACTTTACTTTTTTATAAATCTGTAGTATTTCTACAGTACTTCAAACTTTATAAACTCCCACACTAATTTAAATAGTCAAAATTTTCTTTGCGTCTCTGTATAGTTTATATGTTGGTAAAATGATATAATAGTTTCCTTTTGCTGTGAAATGTTTCAGATCCCTGGTTGAGGTTAAATTTTGTTCTCCTCCTCTGAAAACAGCTGCTAACCCTTTTGGTGAGTAGATAATAAAACTCGAAGGCGGAGTCAAAGGTTTACTGCTGCTGGTCTTCAATAACATTTGCTTTCAGCAGTTCCCAAACCCTTCCCCCGGCCTCCCCAACAGAGAAAACCATTTCTTCAAAGGGGTTGTACTTTGCAGGAGAATCAACTCTTTATTATTTAAAGTCACTTTTAATGCAGTTTTTTGCCCATGTTTAATTTTTTTTTTTCAGTTAATGTCAATGAGTTATTCAGTTAATGAAGTGAACAAATCCTGATAGGTCATAGCATAGCTAGAGTGTAAAACTTTGTATTTTTCATGTAGTGGTAGAGTCAGACTTACCAGACGAAGTAGAAGAAGGTAGCTGAAGAGCGTGGCTATTGTGCCAACACATGGCGTGATGAAGTAACCCAGTGCTGCTGTCTCAGAGTCCGCTTCGCCTGGGTGATACATCAAATCAGATTGTATAAAAAAGGTGCTCGAGAAGCACATCAGTACCTGACACTGCCTTTGAAATGTCATGTGCGTGATGTGAGATGTCAAGCTGGTTTGATCGGTTATGTTTTGGATTGTCGGTTCAGTGTTCAGTGACATTTGTTTGTCAGGTGTGTGACTTACTGCCAATGGCGAGCAGCATGGCGATGGCCGCGAACGTCCCAGCCAGACCCTGGCCGCTCATGAAAATAGTGCTGTACTTCTGAGGCAGTTGACCGACCAGGCCGAACAGACTGCCCTGCAGGACGGCACCAAATGCTGGAAAGATAGTAACAAAGAAAATAACCACACAGCTGCTCCCATGTCTGTCTTCCTTTATCTGATATATAAATCTGTTATTTTATGACCACATTGTCAGGAAGTGTGGTTCCGGTTCGCACAGGAACCTCATATCCTTAATGGCACCCTCCCCCCCCCATGTAAGTTGCTTTGGATAAAAGCATCTGCTAAATGCATAAAAATATAAATATAAAACTAAGGTAGTGGCACTTTGGCCCAGAGGCAATGTCTCGGTCATTGGTGTGGAACCCCAGGGTTCACCTCCTGGACAAGTTCGAATCCCAGTTAGGGTGGTTGGTACCTTCCAGTGGACTCACCACCTGCAGGAAGGTTTGGGAGGTTTTACGGTGCAGTGTGATTTGGGTGGTGACCCGGTAACGGATAAGCAGATGAAAATGGATGAAACTAAAGTATAATCACAAGGACAACATTGAGCAACAGTTAATGTGTATTCAGTCGTTTAGTCCTAACTGCAGCCACTGGTCCCAAACCTTTTTTTGCACCAAGGACCGGTCGGCTGGTACTAGCCAGTACTGCGGACCAGTAGTGAATGAAAGTATAGCATCTTTAATGTAGACTTTATTTTTCATTTGAAAAATGACCAAATTCTCTTTTAATGAAGTAAATTATTACATTATTTACTGAGGCCTAAAACCAAATGAACTACGGACTAGTATAGACCAGCCAACCAGGGGTTGGGGATCCCTGCTGACAACTCCGACTCCAAACAACTACGAGTGCAGTAAACACAGGGAAGAATTTAATCTTCCAAACTTACAGTTGATGAACCAGATTGTTGCCATGGTAACTGAGAAGAACTGGTCCTTATCCTCCATCGGCACTTTGACCAGCACTGCCGTGAGAATGAAGAGCAGCAGAATGAAAACAAGACTGCCGGCAATACGCACTGCCTCCGATATCCTGCAACAACAAAACAGTCAATGGAAAACGAAACTCCAGGTGAACGACTCCACCGAGAGCACAGGAGCTAATGCGTTTGTGCCTAAAGCCATAACTGACCTCTGGTAGAGGAAGGAGTTGAGCAAGGTGAAGAGCAGTAGGGGCAGCTGGGAAAGCAGCGTCATCCAGTTGTTGAAGTAATATTCGTCCTTGACCACCATGCTGCCATTAAACGACACCGTGGAATTTAGACGGTCTTGGAAATACTGCAAACGCAACACACAGAAATACCTTTATTGTTTCATCATATCTAAAACCCAACTTCTACCATTGCTCTGATTATTTTAGCTAAAGTGGTAATGTGATCTATATCAGTTACTGGAAAATAAGTTAATCTGTTTCTTAAAATCTTGGCAAACTCCAGACTGCCAATGTGATAAAACTCAGTAGTGATGAAAACTCAGAGTCTCTTCAAAGAACAAAAAGCTGAAAGGTCAATAATCTGGACCAAATATGCGTTCAAAGGCAGACAGGAAATCAGCCACAGCATAATTACAGCAGTAATAATCTGTAAAGCTGGATGATTGGAACATGTGTTGAGATAACATACTTTTATGGGATCTGCAGGTGCTGTGGGACAGATCACGTCTCTCACAGTTCCGAGAACAACAAGGTTTGTTCGGTGTCATAGTTCTTGTTAATCACACAGCTGATAAAGTCTAGCATACACGCGAAGAGACTTGAGAGATTTGAATAGCAGCGTGACTACTAACTTAATCAGAGCCTAACAATATTTACATATCATTTTTTTAACATAATCTCCATTTCCCAGAGATTAGAGAAGGATTCAGTCAGTATCGTTTGCAGTCAGATGACTCAGAATAATAAGGTAAAGCCTGAAACAAACATTACCATGACTTCAGTCATCCATATGGAGACATTAAGTTCAAACAGATCATAAGCTAAAGAAGTATAATGACTGGTTCACCATGTGATCTTATAAGAGGTTTAAAGACAGGGAGCAGGTGACTGACTGATTTACTGTTACTTAAGAGGAGTTAGGTGTTGTTTTCATATTTGTGAAAAGTTGACCATTTCTGACTGGTTTTTGTGCCACAATTTGGTTCATTGCTCGATACTTTTTCCTCAATAAGTTTTTACCAATGATGCAGTCATGAAGAAGTTCCATGGTAGCAGCGTTCCCAGGCCCAAAATAAAAAAACAGACTCCAACTAAACAACCCCTGTAGATAAGAGAGAATATGTGTTAAAACGATGTAAATATCGCCTCAGACTTTTCAAAAGAAAAAGGTGTAGATCATCAGTAAGAAAGAGCACAAGTTAAATGTCAAAATTAGGAAAAGTGAGCTTGTGGGTTTAACTCACCTGTCCTGTGGGATTTCCGTTCGTCCCTTCATCCTAATGTAGGTTGCTCTTGTCAAACTGCAATGGAAACAAAAGTGAGGAAATAATGAAACACATCACACACGTAACACATCTGCCAATGTTTCTCTTCTTTAAGCTTCAAGTAGGGATGCACTGAAATGAACATTCTTGGCCGAAACAGAAAATGAGGAAACCAAGGCCGAAAAAAACGAAAAAAAATAAAAATAAATCTAATTACTAGTACCATTGTGGTACAATGGAACAATTAAATACCATTCCAAAAGTAGTTGAAGCCAAAACAACTGAAAAAAAAATAAGACTGACAGCTATTGAAGATGATCTTCTTGTGCTTCTTGTTTCAATTCCTGCCATTGACTTTTAAAGCTGTCCATCAAAAACAGACTTGAACATCAAAATTGTCAGAAGTTTCCTGCTAACGTACGAGCAACATGACAGTTGGCATGGAGGTCAGTCAAGGATTAAAGTGAAAACTGGCAAATGCTCCACAAGTTTAGAACTGATAAAGACAAACATAGGCTATCACAAGCAGTACTGTTTCCCCAGTAAAGAGGCACACAGAAGCCTCTCAGTCAACATCTTTTTTACTGAGGCACAAATCGGTGTGCTAGGGCTGTATACTTCAAAGGATCAAAAACTACTCCAAACCATCAGTTGGAGGCCAAGTAAATAAACTAAACACTGCCTGTGGCCTTTCCTCATCCCATTCATTCATGCCTCTGTCTAAACATTCAACTCTCCTACTATGTATCCTGTCTACTTCTATCCCTTCCACATAATACCAACAACTGTGTGAGTAGAAATCATAACAATATAATGGTTGATAGGACTAAAAACTCAAGTTTAATTAAATGAAAATACACGGAAAGGAAATCTAGCAGGGCATGACTCTAGCTCTAGTGGTCGCAGATAGTAAATGTGTTCTAAACTGATATGTGAAAACCAACCCAGGTTTGGGGTTATGTAATGTTTGGCTGGAGTAACTGCCTTCTGTGTTTGCAGTTATCAAAGGTCAGAGCTCCACACAGACAAGGTCAACACTTTCTCCGCCAGGTTGCCACAGAAATGTCAGTCACCTACTATTATCTGGCCAACAGCTCATTACAAGCTATTGGAACACTTAAGCGGCTTGTCGTGTTTCTGTGCATTTCACTACCAATTTCAAGTAATAGTTGCTGATAAATTTGTGCAGGGGCAACTAGCTAGTTTAAAAGAGCTGTGTCATCTGTTAGTAGGGTTGGTAAAGAGGATTAACAGGAGACACCCATCAAAGAGTGTTATTGGAATATAATTTATAATAATTAAAATTTTAAGCATGAATAATACAAACGAAATATAGATATAAATAAATATAAGAAAATAAGCAAACAGCAAAACACTTAATCTGGACTTGAAGCTTCGCACAACTGGTTTCCAAGGTGGAAGATCTGTCACATCCCATGCAACCCACGTTTATTTTAAGGTGAAACAAATCACCTCCCCCCTGGTGTTTAGCTTACAATGCTTCCTTTATCCACCTGTTATTTTAACAACGCCTACTTCTTTCAACAACACAATGCAACGGACACATGGAAGTATTAATGTATGTGAAAACCACACCCCCGTTGCTTAGAGAAACATACAAGCCATGACAAAAATGTATACATCCGCAGTAAGCCTTTACACACCATTGCCTTTGAAGTAAAAAAAAAAAATGTATACAGCAAGTGTCAGAGAAACACAACACTGTGTATGTCTGAGCAGATAAGGGATTGTGAAGGGTTATATAGAATCGATAACTGGTCAAAGGCCCTGATAAGAAACACACATGTGCACATCAGAGCAGACAATCTGCAGTTTTGCAATCTATAATCTGAAATTCTATTAATCCCTGAGATTTTTTTTTGTAGTTTAAAAAATAACTAAAAACCAATTAATACGTTCTGGGCCCCCAGAAATATACTATTAATTTATTAAATTATTCTCCCATCTAAAAATAAAAAACATAGATATAAACAAATATATTGATAATAAAAAATTATAATAATTAAGAAATCATATTATATTATTGTTATAAAATAACCCAAAGAGGGACCGTGACAGTGTCAAGTGGAAAAAAATGGAGCTCAGTTTCACAAGGAAAATCTTGCAAAAGTTGCTTAATCTTAACTTGGAAATCTAGTATGTCGGTGAGCTTGTATCTAGGGACTCCACTGTACTGTGAATGAAGTAGTCCTCTGAAAAACAGGACTGTTGCATTTACCCCAGTTTATCCAATGGAATTGTTGAGCTATTATGTTCTCCCAGATGTATGTTACGACAGCAGTTAATGGCAGTGTGGACGTTGGTTTCATTTTGGAAATGGTTTGACGCTGCTGTTGAGTCAGGCTCATAATATAGACTTGAAAATGCATGACATCATGACTGTGCATAATCCGTTAAAAAATTGGATTCTGCAGCTGTCCATTCACTTTGTTCGCCGCAGACGCTGTACACTGACACAGAAAATGCTGAACAGCTGAGCATTACCAAAATGCAGCCGACTTCAGCAAAGACTGCCAATGAGTTGATCACTTAATTATAGTGCCATTTTATACCTACGGGCTGTTTATTGATGAACCAAACTCTGTCCAGATAGTGGAGGTGCTTTGGGGTATTTGTTTTACTCAGGATACAATGACAGTATTATTCTGTGTCTGCCCAAATTCTGAAGCAGTGGCGGCAGAATTTAGGCCAGGGTTGCTTAATGTATCTTGACGACATGTTGTATGTGTATTCCAATCTAGGATTTGTTTGACAAGAAAAAAAACTGTCCACCAAAATGAACACTCTAAACTAACTCTAAACATCAGAGATTTACTGAAGAGGAGAACCACATTTTTAAAAAACCTGTTTGTTCAGATGACTGCAGGCTGATAAAAAAGTACAGCTGTACACTGACTGACATAAAGCCTATATGGTGCTGCGACACACCACCACACCTCAGATAATAGTCTCTAAGTGGCTGAACTGAGTATCTGTAGACAATAACCATGGTAGTCAAACTTTAAATAACATTATTAACACAGTCACGTGACTAAGAGTGACTCATTTTTGTCCCACATTAACCTGCATATCTATATTCAACAAGTATTTAACCCTTTGTTTGGCATATACTTTGGAAAGAATTAAGAGACCAAAAATTATCAGTTTTTTCTGCTTTTACTAAATATATATAGGTATGTGGTTGAGTAAAATAAACATAATAGTTTCATTCTTTGAACTACTGCCAACATTTCTCCCTAATTCCAAATAAAAATATTGTCATTTATAGGATTTATTCGCAGAAAATGACAGCCTTCTCTTGGCATGCTGGCCACCAGTCTTTCACACCTTCCTCTTGATCACATTCCAGAGGTTTTTAACGGGGTCTGGAGAATGGGCTGGCCATTACACGATCTTGATCTGGTCGTCCTCTATCCACACCTTTATTGACCTGTGTGGCAAGGAGCATTGTCCTGCTGGAAAAACCAGTCCTCTGAGTTGGGGAACATTGTCAGAGCAGAAGGAAGCGAGCGTTTTTCAAGGGTAATATTGTAAATGGCTCGATTCATCCAATCTGCCCAATTCCAGCCTAACAGAAGCATCCCCAGATCATCACCGCTCCTCCACCACATTTCACAGTGGGTGTGAGAGACTGGCTTGTAGGCCTCTCCAGGTCTTAATCTAACCATTAAACGACCAGGTGTTGGCTGAAAATTGGACTCACCAGAGAAGATGACCTTACTCCAGTTCTCTATGGTCCAATGCTTATGGTCTTGGCCTGGCTCTTCTTTGCTTCTCATTGATTTTTTTCTAGCTTTACACGACTTAAGCCCTGCCCCTAGAACCCTGTTTCAAACGGTCCTCACTGTGCGATTTCTGACTGACATACGAATCAGTTGGTGGTCATCCCGGTCAGTGGAGAGTTGTTTTTCGCCCTCTGCCAGCTTGTAGCTTTGTTGTCTGCCAATGTCTGCTGCTTGACCTTGTTCTTAGGAACCACCGTCTTAGAACATTTTAAGGATGAAGAAACCTGACGCTTACTGTATCACTCTGCCAGTAAAGCCAAAATTTAACCCTTATTTTCCTCACTCTCTTTTCTTTTCAACTGTTATGGCATGGTCAGTAGTTTGTTTGTTTTTTCATACCAATTACTTTTGAGGTACTACTAGCACTGTTTTTGCCATACAGCTGGACCTAATGCAAGAGGATAGTGATGACCACAGCAGTGGTTTTTACACTTTAACTTATCAAACAAGTTATTGTTAAGCAGGTTTTGGTAGACTGAGGTGTGCTTGTTAGAATTCAACAGACATTAGAATGGAATGGCTGTTAAACATGTAGAGATGCTGATTTCATAATAAATTTAAGTTGTCTCTTAATTTGTTTTTCAGAGCTGTATATGTAGACCTACTGAGCACCCACGTGCAAAAGACGTTTTAGTGCGTGTTTGTAAAGGCAAACTAATGAACCGAAACTCCTTTCAACAACGTAACCAGAAATCCTTTGAGTACACTGCTGCAAAGAAACTGATATATGTAAATGCTGACCCAAAAAAGATGTTAGTAAATCTAGCAGTGCTGTCTTAGTGTGTCATGCAGTTGAGTAATCCTCACCATAATCCAGGCTAACACGTGTTTGCCATGTGTTCAAGGAAACACAAAACTTCATCTAAGATATCTTTTTAAAAAATCGTGACATTTCCACGCCATTGAAAGTTTTACTGCAATTATTGTAAAAATAAATCGCTCAAATTTAGTCTTTTTTTATATCACAAACTGCTTGCACTTCATTTTATCCCTCTATTTAGTTCTTTTCATGGACCATCTCCACGTGTGTCACTTCATTATCTCCTAGATTGTGTTATTTGACTGCGAGAGTTCAGTCCAGTGTTCTGTCGGGCTAGTTCTGCACCGTCAGAAAATAGTGATGAAAAAGGTGATGCGTTCATGTACATTAAGTAAAAACTAACAAAACGCACAAAAGATGTTTTAGGTGACGTGAGGGTTTAAGCACAATTAAAATACACGATGTATGTAGCAAAGATAAAAACGTACGTATGTCCGAGAAAACTAAAATACAGCCTTTTATTGTCTGACACCTTTTTCATCATTTTATGGCAGTGCTGAGGGCAGAGGAAACACGACTCGAGTCCGCCCATCGGGCCCATAAAGCGAGCAACGGTTTGACCGAAGATGTGCCGGGTTCTTTTTTTTTTCAAAAACGCCATATACGTATGAAATAAATTTCAGTTAATATATTATATTACCGGTGTATATTCTCTTTACAGTGAGAAGCAAACGTGACGAGCGAACGTGTGTTGGACTCACCTGATACAAACACTGGTGTCGTTATCACTGCCTTTTCATGCTGGTCTCAACGTAAGAAAAACGAGCTTTGCCTTCATCCGAATATTTCCGAAAAACACACCACCTGTTGGCAAAGACTTGTTATATCCTCCCACCATTACACACGTGGCGGAACTGATATGACGGTTAAAACGATTACCAGTAAAACGCGTACAGTTCTCCTTCTACTAAATGAATACTACTTCCGGTGTAGTATTTATGGGCGTCACTGTTTTATCGCGGGTATTTTAACAGACAGACCCCCCACCCAAAAAGTCCTGCTCACTTACTATGACATGTTCATCACAATTTTAGAATAGATTTTTCGTCGTCGCACCGAAGGGGTCATAACACAAGTCTTTGTTGATACAAATAATACGCTATAATGCTTAATACACAAACAGGACAATCATTTTTATACAAAACATTGGCAAGGTAAATAAAGTAAATAAAGCCACACAGGGTAGAAGGTTCCAGATGTATAGAGAGACATGTATGGCAAACTATACTGTTATTACACTTTTTTTTACACTGTTATTGGTTAATGCAGGGATATGGGAACGAGCAGCAGAGCAGGTTGTGCAGTGGGACAACAGCAAGGATGGAATGACACGTTTAGACACCAGATTTTCATGCTCCTTTAAAAAATCACTTTTTTAAAGACTCTCCCCAGTGCTGTCATCCCGAGCATGATCACTGTCAGGTCTGTCTGTTTCCTTTCCTGCTGTCTGCTGTGTGGGGTAATCTGTGTGATCACACTCACCTGTGTCTGTAATTAGCCTCACTTGTGTCACCTGGTGCTCCTTGTATATATACCTCTCTCCCGCACTCTGGGCTTGTGGGATCATTGGTTCAGTGAGTGACTGGGCTTGTGGGATCATTGGTTCAGTGCGTGATAGTATCGATTGGTGGCTGTATCGTCCGTGCCACCGTTGTGGCGAGCATTTTGTTGTAGCTGTCCCTAGTCTGTTCCTGGGCAAGTCAGTTCCTGTTCTCAGCTCTCAACTTTGCGTATGCTTCTGTCCTAGTTTTTGGAATTTTGAGTTTTGAGATAAACTACCTGCACCAGTCCTGCATTTGGGTCCTGCCTGCTTCCTGCCATGTCGATGCCCACACGTGACAATCACTTTATTTATTTACACGTATGCATTATCGTGTTTCTTGTGGAAACGCCGTTCTACAAACTGTCACTGCCAACTGATTTGGCGCATTTATACTTGTACTCTTCCTGAAGCAAGTTAGGTGTCTGTTATTCAGTAGTTACGCAGAGGTCTATTACACCATCTGCCGGTATAAATTGGCATGACACTATGTACTACACGTCTGATTATAGATGTATTATGCAAGTGAACGAATAAAATAACTACATTGAAGCCTAACATTTAAGAAAATAAACGCGTTATGTTACGAGTTTATGAAGAAAATGTCGTTAAAGAAGAAATAAGTATCTCATTATTTTGGAAACCCAATTCTTAATTATATTATACGTCATGATTGGCTGATGTCACTGATGACCTAAAACTGGAAGTGCCTTTGGGTTTGTAAAGTTTTTAGTTGTTTCTTTAGGTGTATTTCAGTTTGTCCAGTTAAGCCAGTCCACCCGTCGACTAATATTTAAAGGCGTAATGGCCCTGGGGTGTGGCTGCGTTTGTGCATATTTATTAGTTAAAAGCACTCTCGTTTGTCTGCAACAAAACATTCAAGACTATTATTACATAGTCTACTATTATTATATATAGATAGATTGAACTTTATTAATCCCTCGGGAGTTCCTTTTGAGAAATTAAAAAACACAGAAATAGGTAAAATATACAACATGAGTAGCAGCACACTGACAATGAATATGGGAAACCTGAACAGTGGATATGAGTAGGTTATATAGTAAATGTAATATATTTTAACACTTAATAACACACTAAACTTTAACACACTCAACACTAAATATAGTACAATACTGATATAAACATAAAAGAATATAAATGAAAATGATGCAATAATATATATAGATATTTAATACATATTATATAAACAATAATATAAGTAGTTATAATATAAACCAGTAATAGAAGCAATAAACAATTTGAAATGTGTGAAACAGAGAGTCATAATGACAATACTGTAATAATATGTAATAATATAATAGTATAAAAATAAATATGATAATACCTATAAAAAGCAGGGGTCTCAAACTTTATATTCAGTACAAGGAAAATATTTTATAAAAAATAAAATTTTGGTAATATAAATAGTAATATTACAGTGCCAACAGCAGGTCAATTTTTCCTCATTTTTAAACGACCAAATACAGCATTACAACATTGAATTATTATCCATCCTTTAGGCTAACTGCTAAGATCTTGGAGCTTTTTGAGAGAAAGAAATGGAAAAAAAAACCATACTTTTGAATGTTTTTTGCCTGGCATATCAAGGTTTTGGTTACATTTAAACATTGCATAATTACATGTAAAATACCAAGTAATAGGATTTGCAAATAGTGTGTCTGAACAAAAAAATTGTCTGCTGCTTGCTCTGTTCTGCAAGTCTCTTTCATGTAATCATCCTCATGACTTGCACCGTGTGTTTTCCCTAAATTTGATTACTTGATGATCTCCACCTGTGTGCTGCCTTCCTCTCTGCATACATCCTTTTCATTTCTCACTTTTTTTGAAGGAAATTAAACTGTTAAAAGAGGAAAATCATATCAATCATACGTCTTCACATGTGTAAGTAATGCTACGTTGAAATATCAAATCCCACAGATAAAGCCACATGTTTATGAGAATAAACACACATGTATGAGAATGTAGATAAATGAAAAAAGACTCGTACGTTTATGAGAATAAACTTGTAAGTTTAGTTCATTTGTTTTGGGGGAGGCGAGAGAGAAGCACAAAGTGTGTCAGAATGAGAGAGCATTTTGTGAAGTTGTCATCTTTGTGCGCAATTAAAAAAATGTAATCGTAATTAATCTGTTACGTAAAAATTGTTGTATAGAGACACAATTACAAAGGCAAGATACTTGGACAAGTTGAAAATAATCGATGGAAAAGACCCATACAAAGTCAACAAAGCTGAGTGGAAGCGGACGAATATTCAAAGTTGGCCAGACAATGTGTATCATACGGTTATTATTAACACCCAAACAATACAGCGTGTTAATGTAAAAATCACAGTGGCATATACGGATGTATGTCTTTTGTGAACATCATTAGAATAACAGTTTACACGAAAAATTATCTTTTACTATTGATTAGATTATACTTTTTTCCAAAATCACAAAAAAATATGTATTTTTTACTTTCTTCATTAAAATAAAAATAGTTTGATTGTACATACTGATAAGGATACGGACTGTGGTCAGCTGAGGATTTACATTTGCATTGTGTACATTTGTCATGTCATATGCAAAGTAAATATATGATATATATATTTGATATATTTTCATTTTATTGACATTGAACATATGAATTAAATAAAAGTATAATGTAATTACTTGAAATAAAGTGTCCAGAACAGACTTTGTAATGTGTTTTGCTTGGATCTGGGTTGAAATTAGCACGGCTAATACGTTAAAGCCATAGCATCCTTCTTTCTGTCGAAATATCCTCTGTCAGCTTCCCTCGGTGACAGATCGCTTTATGTCAAAAAACTTCATCCTGCGATCTCCATTCCCAGATCGGTTGGTACAACCCCACACAACACAGGTATGTGCCATTATCGGTGTCCTTCTGTGTATTTAATATCTATCTATACAGTACGCCCTGTTGCCACACAAGATGGCGGACTACGGAACTATGGGTAGTGGCGTGACATCTTCAGAAAACTATCTATACTTCATCATGGACATTTTGTATGTGTGTACTGTTTTGGTCCACATAGCAACGACAAGTGGTCAGCCACAGCGTTGTGTAATTCATACCTTTTACTAGAAACGTGAATAATGCAATAGATGAATGATCGATGAAATGCAACCAATACAAGACACAACGTGCGTAGAAATATATGATGATAAAGTGAAGAGGTTTCGATGATATTAGGACAGACATGAGTAGGTCTCCATTATTGTGAACAGTTTTTAGATGGCATCATATGAACCAGCAACTGCTGAGCGCCACAAACGAGAAGACGATAACATAAGAGAAGCCATGGCTCTGTGGTTGAAGGACTTCCTGTTTTTCTTTCGCAGTACACTCAGTCCATCACCAAGTACGAGTCCTTTTCACAAGAGTGGCAGGGTGCACATTTAATTTAGGAGGTTGTGGAGGCGACTTCCTGAATACCGATAAGCAACTTTGCCTTGCATGCATTGGTTGCGTTGGAGTGCGTTAATCGAAAACACATGGTGGGAAACCATTCTAAAATACAAAATATGGCATCTGTATTCAAAAAGAGAAAATCAAATTGGAGTTTGTGCCATCCTAACTTGATTCTCTTCGTCGTGCCCAACCTGTCATGTATCTGTTCACCACCAGTAGGGCCCGCTCCACACTTTGACAATATTATATAGATTTATCAATATTATAGAAAACAAGTTTTGTTATTAAAACGCCCTAAAACGTAAATGCTAAACACTAATATTTATATAATTAATTTTATATTCATTTATATTCATGTTATATATTCATTATACTTATCTATTTTCCCTGCAATACCCACGTTTAACCCCAATAAATGGCACTGAAAATGACAAAAGCATTTTAGAATTTTATCCTTTCTGCATGACTTTTACATGTCATTTATCTTAGTTCACATAAACGCGTCATCTCTCTGCTCCTGACCCGGCCCCATTCAATTTTAGGACAATTGTGGCCCGCGACTCAAAAAGTATGCCCACTAAGCGTTTCGGCCATGCCTTGCTTTTTGTTGTGTGTATAATTTGGTATGTTTTTGGAGAGCTATCACAAGGAGCCGTGCTGTGGTGTTGTGCTGTACTACTTTTGTGCTCCCATTGACGAACAGCGGCAGGACATGTGGAACCACAGAAAAGAATTCTCCATCCATATGCCGCTCTGTGGTTTGTCTCTCTGCCCTTCTGCTGTGCAATCAGTGTGATCACACTCACCTGTGTCTCCACCGTTAGTCTCACTGGTGTCAGCTGGTGCCCTACTCTGATGTTTCGTTGTTCCTGATTTTCAGTTCCTGATTCATGTCTGCTTTGCTGTTGTTTCTTGTGCCATGTTTCGAGCAGTTCAACGTCTCTCTAGCGCTACGTGCGGATCCCGCCTTCACCAGTACGTAACAGCTGCCTCTGTTTGGACATCTTACAGAGCAGGAACATTGATCAGAGATCAGAGTCACAACCATCTGCACGCTTGTCACGTCAGCAATAGATGGTCAACGAGATGTCAAACTCTATGATGCAATGAATTGCAAAAAAAAGTGATTTTGCTGTAGAAGCTGATCACGACTTTCATATCATTAGAATTGGTTTCAATAGCACCAGCTTAAGACTTAAATTTATAAATACCAAATTATGGAAGTGAAAACTCTCAAACAATTTCAATGTAGCAACATTCCCTTACATAAAATGTGTTTTCTAGTGAGAACAAAGTAACTCAGTCAGAGCAATACCTTTTATAAACAGGAAAAGAAAAAACGTGTTATGGTTTTAACACCTTTTAGAGGAAACGTGGAAAGAAGCGTGGGAAAGAAAAAAACATAAAACAAATGCGCATGCGTGCATGTCTGTGTGTGTGTAGGGGGGGGGTCAAGTTAACAGTGAGGGTTTAAGTGAAACAAAAGATCAGCAGCAAAACTGAAAAGATGAAGCTTCTACTGAACAGCGTGCTGATGGTCTCCCTCTGTGACATCGTGTCTTGCAGTAAGTTCTAATTTATAATAATATTTTTGTATCTAACAACATACCTCAGTAATTAGTAATATAGTATATATATGTATATATATATATTTGTTTTTACATGTGTCAAAAAATATCCCTTTCCTTTAGATAGCTTCACCATCATTTATAAATGATTTCTGCCGTGGCATTTGTACTGTCATAAAACCACCAGATCACATTTGTTTGAATCCATGTCACGTTGAAATGGCATTATCAGTTCATTTTACACTTATCCACTTCCTTATCCTTCTGCTTAGAGAGATGTGATTTCAACATTACCCACTCCCCGGACCTTGATGTCACTGAGGGTGAAATGGTGAATATCACCTGCTGCGTTGCAGGAGCTCAGCGTCTATCATACTCCTGGATAAAGCACCAGCCCAGCAACACAAAGAAAATAAAATATCAAACATTGAGCATAAACGGCTCACGAGCCTGCTTCAATCTGGTGTTATCAAATATCAACATAAATGATTCCGGAAGATACTTCTGTAAGGTAAAGGAGGAGATACCTTATATTTGCGAAGATGCTGTAAATGGCACAATAATAACAGTCACCACAAGACAGGGTAAAGGTGGGTAATATCATGGTAACACTCTGACACACAAGCAAGTTCCTGGTTTTTGTCCTTGTCCTTTGTGGCCTCATCATATGTGTCCGTCCAAATCTATTTTCATAGACTTTAAAAGTGAGTTTCATTCAGGACAGGGGTCTCAAACTCAGATGAGCTAATGGCCACGGCTTCCATAACACTGGTGGGCCACATTAGTGTTCAAAGTTTAATACAAAAAAGTTTTTCTTTTTTCTTTTTTGGAAAAAAGTGATGTTTTTTAAATAGTGCAAATGGCTAGTGCAATTTTTTTTTTCTTCTCAATAGCATTTTTGTAATTTTTGCATTTTTTGTAATTCATAAAAAAATTAGTTTAAAATTTTAATTTAAATAATTAAGAGAATTAATTAAGACTTAATTTAATTTTTATTGACCTCCAGTCAAGGCAAAATGTGATGTTTCGTGGGCTAGAAGTTGTCCCCTGGGTCGAGAGTTTGAGACCCCTGCTTTAAGAGCTCCATAAATTTAACGTAAATTTAACGTGAATTGAACGTTTCACTCAGTTGGGTGTTGACTTTATCAACAACCCAAAATTTACATACTTTTGCTTGACAAAAATTTTTAAAAAAATTCTCTGTCATCTCATTTTTCTCTTAATGTTATGTTCCTTGACCTTTGCAGGCGCAGTGTCATATAAAATTTCTCTCAGTGTCATAATCCCCGTAGCTGTAGTGGTTCTACTGCTTCTCGTCGCTCTGTGCTGTTTCTGTTTCATGAGGCTCAAACGAGGTAAGGATCAACACAAGGTTTATCGACCTATACACATCACAATTGGAAATAATTCTGTCATGTTATAAAATATGCATAATCCATAACATCTATAACAAAGTCACACCCAATCTCTTAGTCAAGGCTACTGATCAAAGCGCTCTTTGTTTGTTTTGTTTTTTGTTGTTGGAAGGTGCTGTAACAATTCAATTAATTATTATTAACCTGTAGAACAATTTGCATTAAACATGGCTTTATAGGTTTGCAGGTTACAGGTTTAATTAACAAATGTACTCCTTGATTTTTAAGCATGACTTTGGTTGCTATAGTTGGCAAGATATCCAAGTTTAGTACTACTACATGACATAACGTAGAATTTGTGTATAGTCATGTTTATTTTTATAAAGGCAAAAATGTGTGACTCATTGCAATTTTTATAAAGGCAAAAATGTGTGACTTATTGCAGCTAGCCTGAGTAGTTTGAAGAAAAAAAAAAGTGAGAAATGCATCGTACACCACAGAGAAATATGTTCCAACTTAGTGACACTAAAGATAAATGTACACTTTTTTTATGGTGCGCAGTCTTGGGTTTGATTCCCACAGGAATTATACACAGTACTTGACGCCTGCCTGGGACCCACAGGAATTATACACAGTACTTGACACCTGCCTGGGGCAGATCTACCGTTAACACAAGAATTTCCCAAAGATGGGATCAAAAAAGTTTACATTATTGTTATTATTAATTATATTCCTAGGGATATATATATATATATATATATATATATATATATATATATATATATATATGTGCAGAGCTCCCCCTCCGCGAGCGACAGCTTTTTTGTCTTTTCTTTGTTCTCTCCACATATATATATATATATATATATATATATATATTGTATGTCCCACAATTGGTACCCATAACAAAACTAACACTAACGCATAATTTATTGGTGTGTATCCTGGGTGTGATTGGCAAGCCCAAGCTGCCATGGTGATCTATGAGGTTCCCCACTTTGACTCAGAAGAAGCAGAGATGGAAAAACACAGCACCTCTTCCACAGGCTCAACTCAGTGGGTGAGTTCAAAAAAGTTTAAAAAAGTGAAACATGAATATGATATTCTGCTAGGTTGTACTGTACATCATCTACAAGCATCTATCATTTTGTGCTACGGCCATTTGTCCTGCAAAACAAAACGTTTCTAACAGAGTACAGAATGTACTAAAAGCGGAAACTTTGTTTTTATGTTTAATAATCACTCAATATGGCTGACATCCTGTGT